CCCATGCTCCCCTCCAGGGCTTCTCTAGAGTCTCTCCCATTCTTTGGAACTCCCCTACCCTGACCTGTCCATCTGTCTCCTACTCTGTCTGCCTTTAGGCAATCCCTAAAGCCTCATCTTTTCAGGGAAGCCTATCCTGCCTCAACCTAACCACTGAACTATCACTTTCTCAAACAATTCATCCCCACACAGCTGCCTCCTCATATATCACTTGCCCCTCCCTTTAGATTATAAACTCTCATGGGCAGGGCCCTCCTTACCATATTGTCTCGACTTGCATTGTAACTATAATGTCCTCCTCATATTGTAAAGCGCTGTGTAAACTGTTGTCGCTATATAAATCCTGAGTAATAATAATAATTAGGGATGCACAAATACCGGTTTCTCCATATCAAGTACGAGTACCGAAATCTTTTTTTTGGTTGTACTCGCCGATACCAAATACCAATACCGGAAGTCCTATTAAGGAAGCTGGGTGGCATGTAATGACTTGCTGCCCGGCTTCCCGATTAGCCGAGAAGCTGTCTCCATGCTCCCTCGTCACCAGATGACAAGGAAGCATGGAGTCGGCTTTCTGGCCAATCAAGAAGCCGGGGGGTGGGTAATGACTTGGCACCTAGCTTCCTGATTGTCCAGCTTCCCGACCAATCAGGAAGCCGGGCAACGAGTCATTACAAGCCACCCGGCTTCCTGATTGGCCGTGAAGCCAGCTACATGCTCCCTCGTCACCAGGTTGGCTTCCTGATTGGCCCGGAAGCCAGCTCCATGCTCTCTGGTGACGAGGAGGATGGAGCCGGCTTCCCGGCCAATCAGGAAGCCAGGCAGTGTGTAATGAGTCGCCACCTGGCTTCCTGTTTCCGGAAGTACCGGTATCGGGCTAGGCATCGGCAGCATTTGGGCGAGTACAAATACAACAAGTGACGAGGGAGCATGGAGCCAGCTTCCCAGCCAATCAGGAAGTCGGAGGTCCGGTCATTACCCACTCCCCGGATTCCTGATTGGTGGGCGTGTAGTCGCCCAAATACTCGGTATTGGCATCGATACTGGTACTAGTATCGGTATTTGTGCATCCCTAATAATAATGCTATATATCTGGCTGCTCTGAAGGCCCATTTGCTTTAATATTTGCCAGCTATCTGAACTAAGCATGCAGATAAACACTTTAGACTTTCCTCATTTGTTTGATTGTCCCATATTAACCGGTAAGGCATTTAGCATAGAATGAGATCAGAATTTACAGCGACCTTTTTGCTCTAATAACAGGTCTACTTTAATTGCACTTGAAAGCGAAACTCATTAATGAAGTCAAATTAGGTCAGAGACGGTGAGATGTCACGGCGCATGATGTGATTTCACCCTAAAATCCGGACTTGTCACAGCTTGTCCGGATGGCTGAGAACTTTCTCAGACCAGAAGAACGAGGATTATGAATGGAAGCACACAGAATTCTATCCATCAGACACAATTAGGCTCACAATAGGGGTGGGTGACGGGAAAAGGGTTTATGATGAGCAGGGCGGGTCTGTAAATGAGCAGAATGTAATGACAGTGATGTTAATAAGAACACCGCCGGGCGAATGTGTTATTGCTCAGATCCAAGGAAACCTTTCCTAAATTTAAACAATAGGTGCTTAAAAACTTCCATTGAAACTGACCTAATGACATGAGACCTGAGTATTGTCTTGGCATTCATCTTGGGAAACAGGTGGGGTCACTTGTTATACCCCTTTTGGTTGCCGGTTCCCTTATATTCTAAATCAGGGGAAGACATCCTCGGCACTCCAGCTGTGTTGAAACTACAACTTCCATTATAAGTCATGTCTGTGGCTCTCTTGCAATGCCTCATGGGATGTGTAGTTTCACCACAGCTGGAGGTTGCCTACCCCATGGTTAACAGTACAAGGCCGGGGCGTCCCGAGGCAGGGTGTCAGCCCGGTCTCCAGACCAGAGTGAAACCGTGTCGTGTCATCATCACGCGTGCGCGGCCATCTGATGCCTGCGGCCGTCTTGGTGATGGATGTCGGCAGAGAGAGGAGGGGACGTTCACCTGACGGGATGAGGTATGCCGCCAGATCCTTTCCTCTCTCCTGACACTGTTGGGCTCTCGGTCCATGACAGAGTGCCCATATTTTTAGAGGGGGTGACACCAAAAGGTGGTCTCAATGTACTAAGTTTCAGAGTACACAGTACACAGTTGTATAACAAGAAGATGCACTGTGAAAAGACTTCTGAATCTGGATGGTATGATGTAACAAAGTCATAGAAGATGCTATAGCCTATTTTTTTTATATTGGCATAGACTGGGGAAGGGTCAGAACCCCTGTCAAGTTTTCATTGCTGTCCATGCCCCCAATGGGGAAATTCATCCTCTCTATTTCTGCTGGTAACAATTGATAGGAGACAATATAAATTAACAGTTGTCAACCAAAAAGAAAATCTCCTGCAAACCTCCAGCTATCACATAGGTATATATGGAAGGGGGACCTGAATTTTCAGCTTACGGTAGAGCTCTGGGGGTAACCAAGGCCGGATTTCACTCAAGGCCAGCCTTGGGGCATAGGGGAATTCCTATCCCCCGACACCCGGGACATGTAGTTCCAAGCCCTAGGAGGGTAGTTGTTTTCTACATTTAGCCCTGCTTTGGGTAAGCAGGGCTAAATGTACAGCGGGGAAGCCGCCGCTTGTTTTGTACAAGTGATCCTGGCAATGTCGCCGAGATCACATGTATGCAGCCTTTCTCCATGGGGGGAGGGGGGGTTGGCAGATAGGGGGGTGCATTGAGGAACCTGGCTTTGGGGCAGCAGAGAGAGTAAATCCGGCACTGGGGGTCACGGCGTATAAATATGTCTCCGTGCTACCAGCTATCCCATGAGTAAACATGAAAGGGGGTCCTAAAACGTCAGCTCATGGTGGAGCACAGGGGGTCACGGTGTATATATATACCTCTCTTCTACCAGCTATCCCATAGGTATACATGGAAGGGGGACCAAAAACTTCAGCTCAGGATTTAGCACTGGGGGTCACGGTGTATATATATACCTCTCTGCTACCAGCTATCCCATAGATATATATGGAAGGGGGGCCTGAAACTTCAGCTCACGATGGAGCACTGCGGGTCACAGTGCATAAATATGCCTCCCTGCTATCAGCTATCTCATAGGTATACAGTATATGGAAAGGGGACCTGAAACTTCAGCTCTCGGTGGAGAACTGGGGGTCACAGTATATAAACATGCCTCTCCCATAGGTATATATGGAAGGGGGACCAGAGACTTCAGCTCACGGTGGGGCACTGGGGGTCAAAGTATATAAAGATGCCTCTATGCTACCGTGTTTCCCTGAAAATAAGACACTGTCTTATATTTTTTTTGGCTCAAAAAAACACACTAGGTCTTATTTTTTTTTTTTATTTACCAAAAACAGAAATTAATGCAAATCCAAATTAAATAATCCAAAATGGCAAAGTTAAGAATATGGTGATCAGGGCAATCAGGGGTGCCGTACCTTTCCAAGAGCAATTTGGTAACCAATCACTGGCCAGAATGAGCACAGCGCGCTTTCACTATCGATTCCTCACAGGCGGAGTGCATTTGGTATCACTCCGCCTGTGACAAGAGGTGGCGCTATAGAGGAAGCATTGGCTTATGCGGCTCGGCTCCCTCTGCCGCCGCCTCGCTTCCTCTAGCGCTGACTTCGTTTCACCACTGATTCTCTTCCGCTGCTCTTCAAGTTTCCCCTTATGCCACCACCGGCCCTGGGAATGGTCACAACTAGGTCTTATTTTCGGGGCAGGTCTTATTTTCGGGGAAACAGGGTACCAGCTATCTCATAGGTATATATGGAAGAGGCACCAGAAAATTCAGCTTATAGTGGATCACTGGGGGTCACGGTGTATAAATATGCCTCTCTGCTACCAGGTTTCCCATAGGTATATATGGAAGGCGGACCTAAAACTTCAGCTCATGATGGAGCACTGGGGGTCACATTGCATAAATATGCCTCCCTGCTATCAGCTATCTCATAGGTATACAGTATATGGAAAGAGGACCTGAAACAGATCTCGGTGGAGCACTGGGGGCACGGTACATAAAATATGACTCTCCCATAGGTATATCTGGAAGGGGGACCTGAAACTTCAGCTCCCGGTGGAACACTGGGGGTCACATTGCATAAATATGCCTCCCTGCTATCAGCTATCTCATAGGTATACAGTATATGGAAAGAGGACCTGAAACAGATCTCGGTGGAGCACTGGGGGCACGGTACATAATATATGACTCTCCCATAGGTATATCTGGAAGGGGGGCCTGAAACTTCAGCTCCTGGTGGAACACTGGGGGGTCACAGTATATAAATATGCCTCTGCTATCAGCTATCCCATAGGTATATATGGAAGGGGCACCAGAAAAATCAGCTCATAGTGGATCACTGGGTGTCACAGTATATAAATATGCCTCTCTGCTACTAGCTAACCCATAGATATATATGGAAGGGGGACCTAAAACTTCAGCTCACGGTGGAGAACGGGGGGTCACATGGAGATGAAAGAAAGGTGCCCAATCATGGTCATGATAAGCAATAAAGTCTCAACAGGAGATCAAACCCTACCACGCTCCACCAAAACCTAAAAAAGTCAATGTTTTGGGCAAAGTTCCGCATTAAAGCCTTGTAAAGGAGCTGAACGTAATCCTGTCACCTTCATAATGCAATGACAGCACACTGAAAGGCTCATAAAAGTGCATTTACAGAGGCTTCCTCTTAGATTAAGGGCAGTGACTGAGCTCTGCACTCACCCTGCATGACTCTGCCAGTTGAAGATGCTTCAGGGTTAGTCTGGCTGGTGTTCTACTGATGATGTGAGGATGGGAGTTCCCTGCTCATGACCCGTGGACTGGATCCAAACTGAGCAGATTCTGGAGGAGAAGCATTTTGCACTTCGCAGGTCACGGAACTGGAACCAGAATCAGCCTCACAGACTAAAGCCGTGGGGGAGAAAAGACAATGGTCGGGATGAAGTCCTCAATTTTTGGCATGTCTTCAGTCACAATGATCTGTCTGATCTCCTTTCTGGGACTTAAAGGTAAATCTTTTTTCTTTACATATATTTAGAAAAAGGGGTAAGAACACAGTTCATGGTGGGGCACCAGATGTACAGCAAAGAGGACCTGTCCTTTTAAGTAGACCTGAACTCATGCAGTGAATTGCATTGCATTTGCTAAAGCTCTGTGTGTTATAGGCCATTGCTATTTTTTTAAGTAAAAAAGTTTCCATCCTCTCTCTGGAATGTCAGTTCTGCTGATCTCCTGCAGCTTCTTCCAGCCAGGTCCTGTCTACATGCACTCGCTGCCATAAAAGCTTCCTTTCTACATACTAGAACATTGTTGGCTTTTCTTTAATGCCTTAATTCCACTTTAAATCTGCAGCTTTTATTAAAAGAATACCTTCATCTGTGGCTGTGAAGATCCTTGTTCAGACACTTCCTGTTACGGGGAGACAACTGTCTCTTAATTGTGCTCCTGTGTTGTCACCCTGCCATATGCTGGACAGGTTCCTGATAACGCTGGGCAATGCCTGCTAAATGTATGTTAGCACAGCCACTTGCAGTCTACATCAGGGGCTCATGGTGACAGGGTGACAAGGCAGGAGCACAATTGAGAGACATTTGTCACCCCGCAACAGGAAGTGTCTGAAATAGGGTTGCCACCTTTTCTTCAAGCGAAACCTGAACACTCTAGCGACGCGTGGACATTTTGTGGGAGAATGGGTATTGGCTTATTCATATGTAAATATCACAGTTGAGACTACTTTATCTTAATTTTGGTTGCCCCTGTCTGCATGACATCACATGTCTGGGTTTCTGCTGCCATGAAACCCGGACACAGTATTCAAAACCCGGACTGTCGGGGGGAATCCTGGACAGGTGGCAACCCTAGGTGACAACTGTCTCTCAATTGCGCTCCTGTGTTGTTATCCTGCCATATCCCGGACAAGTTCCTGATAACGGTGGGCCATGCCTGCTAAATGTATGTTAGCACAGACACTTGCAGTGTACATCAGGGGCTCATGGTGACAGGGTGACAACTCAGGAGCACAATTGGGAGACAGTTGTCACCCCGTAACAGGAAGTGTCTGAACAAGCACCTTCACAGCAGGAGCAGAAGGTATTCTTTTAATAAAAGCTGCAGATTTAAAGTGGAAGTAAAGGCATTAAAGAGAAGCCACAATGTTCTAGTATGTGCAGTATGACAGGTAGAAGGAAGTTTTTATGGCAGAAGAGACTTACACAGTGTCATATGACATAGATAGCCTGACATTCACCAGTTTATTTAGTTTTTATCGAAGAATGACTACCACTTTAAAAAGATGAGAATATCTTTTGAGATCAATTGTTATATTAGATTTTAGCAATTGGGATCATTACATCGTTGTTTCATATTATTATTATTGGCATTTGTATAACCATGCAGAGCTGTCAACACTTTGAGGGATTTAATAATTGTGCATACGAGCTGGGCCAGATTTACTCTCTCTGCTGCCCCAAGGCCAGGTTCCTCAATGAGTCCCCCTACCTGCCAAACCCCCCTCCCCCATGGAGAATGAGAGACTTGCAGGCTGCATACAAGTGATCTCGGCCACATCGCCGGGATCACTTGTACAAAACAAGCGTCGGCTTCCCCGCTGTACATTTTACATCTTCTTGCCCAAAGCAGGGCTAAATGTAGCAAACAATTACCCTCCCAGCGCCCGGAACTGCATGTCCCAGGCATCGGGAGATTCCACACCCCTGCTGCCCCTCTACTCCCTTCTGCCCCAAGGCCCCGGGTGGCCTTGTGGGAAATCCGGCCCTGCATATTAGGTCCTATTACAGTAAAATTGATTACCAACGGCAAGGCTTTCAGTTTCACACTAATCTTATGAATGACTTATATTCGACCCAGGAAGAAAATATATAAATTACGATTGTTTTGCCGCAAATCGTACAGAATGAATGTACATGTAGTTTTCGTGGGATGAATTATCTTTTGGCATTTATTTATAAGACTTTCCTTTCAATTTAAAGATCAAATCACATGTATCACATGTATGAATATTTTATCTGTAGAAAACAAAATTCATATTTAGTCATGCTGGTAATTGGTTGCATGATTTTTCCTGTTTATTTTAATTTTATATTAATATTATTTCTGGCATTTTCATATTTTTTTTCTGTCTCATTGTGCATCTTCTTTGAATTGTATTGGAAAAAATATACTGTATGTAAAATAAAATGTATGTTTTATGTTATTCAGTATAAAACATTCTTAGCATTTTCTATTATTTTATTACTTTGAGATTTGTAACATTCAGATATAAAGAAAAGTGAGGGCTGGAACAGGAGGCTATGTTCATTGTCTGGGTTTCAGGGGCTCATTTACAGTCAATGAGCCTAAAATGTCCAATACTATTTTCATGGTACTTATGTTCAATCATTACCAATGAGACAGTGAGTGGTGCTTTTGTGGACTGGGTACAGCTTTTCTTTAAAGCCTCCAATCCAATTAGAAAAAACTCTCCTTGCACTGCAAGGGTTAAATGTTTTTTTAAGTAGAACGGAAGCCAATTTTTTTTTCATTTTGGATAGAGTAGGTCGGGCCATACCCCTGACAATTTTTTCGTTCGGCCCGCGGGTTGAAATATTGACGCGATTACTCCATCAACAGAAACAGTGTGTCGATCGAGGAATCGCCATTGTTAGAATACCCGATCGGAGAGGGCAGCTCATTGGCTGATCGCACAATAATTTTCCAGCAGGCTGGAGGAATGCCAGCTGAAAGGGAGACGACATCCCCACACTCAGGGCCGGATTTACTCTCTCTGCTGCCCCAAGGCCAGGTTCCTCAATGTGCCCCCCTGTGTGCAGGCTGCATACAAACGACATAGCTGAGATCACTTCTACAAAATATGCGGTGGCTTCCCCGCTGTACATTTAGCTCTGCTTGCTCAAAGATGGGCTAAATGTAGAAAACAACTACCCACTCGGTGCCTGGAACTGCATGTCCCGGACGTCAGGAGATAGGAATTTCACACCCCTGCTGTCCCTCTACTCCTTGCTGCCCCATGGCCGGGCCTCGGTTGACCTTGTGGGAAATCCGGCCCTGCCCACACACTGCGAATTTCAGGCGGTACATTCAAAACAGGCCGAAATTCGGCCAGTGTATGGGCACCTTAAGGGAGGGTTATACCTCATCAACTTTTTTTTGCCATCTGTGTCCCATTGGGAAGATTTAACTTCACTTCCTGTCCAATAGGAAGTGAGAGGAAATCTCTACAGATACAGGGAAATCCCTGGTGGTCAGCAGAGTCACCCGAACTAGTGTTTTGTAACTGGAAAAGCTACTTCCCTAAGGCTGACAATCGCAATCTGACATCATAAAATACAATGCAGGGCTATTGGCTCTTCATTGTACATGATGATGGTGAGGTCCCGTCCACAACCCAGAGCATCAGAGTAATAAGGTAAGGATTACAGCTGACTACTCTATCCATAGGTCTAAAAAGCATTTAACCCTTGCCGTGTGGGAGGGG